TTAGTAAATTTATAGAATTGTTCAACCATCACCACAATTAAGTTTTAGAATGTTTCCATCACCCCCAAGAGCTTCTTTATGCCAGTTTGCCTAACTCCAGGTAACCACTCATCTGCTCTATAGATTGTCTCTCTGGAAATTTCATGGACTCATATGAAATGTATTTTCTTGTATCTAGCTGCTTTCACTTCAAATAACATTTTTGTGGTTTATTTACTGAGCAGCACATATCAGCAATTTGTTCCTTTATACTGCCAAAGAGTATTCTAGCATATGGTTATACCACACTGTGTTTATCCATTTATCAGGTGATAGACATTTGTGTTGTTTCTACTTTTAAGCTATTGTAAATAATGCTGCTATGAGCATTCACATAAAAGTCTTTGTATGGATGTGAATACACATTTCCCTTCTTTTGGAAAGAAATATCCCTCCCTGGGTTGCTATATTCTTAGATATTGTATTCTTTTTGTAGCAATTGTGAATGAAATTGCATTCCTGATCTGGCTCTTGGCTTGGTTGTTGGTTTATAAAACTGCTAGTGATTTTTGGCCTGGTGCAGTGGCTCATGCCTGTAATCCCAGCATTTTGGGAGGCCAAGGCCAGCGGATTACCTGAGGTCACGAGTTCAAGACCAGCCTGGCTAATATGGCAAAACCCCATCTCTACTAAAATAATACACAAAAATTAGCCAGGCATGATGGCACATGCCTGTATTCCCACCTACGCAGGAGGCTGAGGCAGGAAAATTGCTTGAACCAGGGAGGCAGAGGTTGCAGTGAGCTGAGATCATGCCACTGCACTCCAACATGGATGACAGAGTAAGACTCTGTCTCCACCCCACAAAAATGCTAGTGATGTCGTACACTGATTTTGTATCCTGGAGCTTTGCTAAAGTTGTTTATCAGCTTAAGGAGCTTTTGGGCTGAGATTGTGAGGTTTTCTAGAGATAGAATCATGTCGTCTGAAAACAGGGACAATTTGACCTTCTATTTAGATACCCTTTATTTTTTTCTCTTGCCTGACTGCTCTGGCCAGGACTTAAGTTGAATATGAGTGGTAAGAGAGAGCATCCTTGTCTTGTGCTGGTTGTCAAGGGGCATGTTTCCAGCTTTTACTCATTCAGTATGATGTTGGCTGTGGGTCTGTCATAGATGGCTCTTATTATTTTGAGGTATGTCCCTTCAATGCCTACTTTAAAATCAACATATTTTTAAAAAATCTAAGGACCAGATGACTTGAATTATGAAATATAACACCAATTTAAATAATTAATTCAATCATTCACAAATACTGCCAAAATAGAAGTGGAGACACCATTTTGCAATTTATTCTAAGAGGCCAATATTAGCCTGATATTTGAAACAAAGGTATCACAAGAAAAAAATAAGACTTACAAACTATAGACCAATACTCCTTATAAGTATAGATGCAAAACCTTCATCAAAATACCAGGGAATTGAATTCAGCAATACATAAAAAGAATTATATCTTATGATCTAGTGAGATTTATTTCACAATGCAAGGTTGGTTTAACATTAAAAACTCAATCAATATAATTAACTATATTAGGAGAATAAAGAACAAAAACATGGCCATTAGGTGGATAATAAAATTAACAAAATCCAGGTCTTTCAAGATAAAAATACTCAACAAACTATAGAAGGGAACTTCCTCAACCTAATAAAGGAAATTTAAAAAAAGAAAACTGTTGTTAAATTTATATTTAAAGGTCTAAAATATATGCTTCCAGGAACAAGACAAAGATGTTTTTCTATTCAACATTGCACTAAAAGTTCTAGAAATTAGATACTAAAAAAGTAAAAGGTATCCAGAATAGAAAGGAAGAATTAAAGCTTTCTCTATTTACAGATAACATATTACTATATATATGGAGAATTCTATCTCACATCAGTCAGAATGGCTATTAATAAGTCAAAAACTAACAGTGCTGGAGAGGTTGTGGAGAAAAAGGAACGCTTATTCACTGTTGGTGGAAGTCTAATTATTAGTGTAACCATTGTGAAAAACAGTGTGGCGATTCCTGTAAGACCTAAAAACAGAACTACCCTTCGACACTGCAATCCCATTACTGGGTAAATACCCAAAGAAGTATAATCATTCTACCATAAAGACACATGAATGCATATTATCACTGCAGCACTATTCACAGTAGCAAAGACATAGACTCAACCTAAATGCCCTTCAATTGTAGACTAGATAAAGAAAATGTGGTACATATACACCATGGAATGCTATGCCACCATAAAAAGAATGAGATCACATCCTTTGTGGGAACATCGGTGGAGTTGGAAGTCATTATACTTATCAAACTAACACAGGAACATAATACCAAATACCACATGTTCTTACTTAGAAGTGGGAACTAAATGATGAGAACACATGGACACATAGAAGGGAACAACACACACTTGAGCCTATGGGATGGTGGGAGGTGGGAGGAGGAAGAGGATCATAAAAAATAACGAATGGTTACTAAGCTTAATACCTGGGTGATGAAAAAATCTGTAAAACATATCCCCATGACTGAGTTTACCTATGTAACAAACCTGCACATGTACCCCCAAACTTAAAAGTTTAAAAAAATAAAATTCTAGGGAATCCATTAACATATTAAAACTAGTAAATGAGTTCGACATGGTTGCAGAATACAATATCAATGCTGAAAATCAATTGCTTTTCTGTACACTTGAAAAGAACAATCGAAAAATGAAATTAAGAAAACAATTCTATGTGGAAATAAATTGAATGAAGAAATAGAAAATTTGTACACTGAAAAATGGTCAATATAACTGATACAACCTTTTTCTAGAGCAATCTGACAATACATATTGAAAGCCCAAAATATGTACATAGATTTGGACCTGTGTATTCAACTTCTAGTAATACACAGTAAAAATGCATAATGTGAAACTAAACATTTGTCTACAGGAACTTTTTAAAAACAGTATTATTAAGAGCCAAAAAAGAGGAGTGTACAATGAAAGGAATTAGTTAAATAACCCTGACATAGCATAGCCATAAGATAATACAATTCATTATCCCTATAAAATTAAATTGTATTTGGAATACTTAAGGACACAGAAAGCCATTCATTGCATTTTAATTGATAGAATCGTACAAAAAATGTAGGTTAAAAATACCTCAAAAAGTATTCTTTGAAAAAAATACAAATGTAGAAATATGAGTACAGAGAAGGAGGAGACAAAGAGAAATATAGGTATGCCAAAATATCACTTCTGGTCATTATTAAGTATCAGAATTTTAAGAACCATTTTTCTTTCTGCTTTTCTAAGTTCTCCACTTAAATTTGACAATAAACTTTAATAATCAGGAAGATAATATCATTAATATTTAAGATTAAAATATAAGTTGATGCTGATAACATTTGTAAATAGAATATGAAAAAGAGAGTAGCCTTTGAAAAATATTAGAATGCAGCAAAAATAAAAAGATAAACATCCTCTGAAATTATCCAAAGTACATTGTTAATTATGCTGTTTGTCTGAATTAAATAAACAAATTAGAGATTGTATTATTCAATAAATAGTTTGACAATATTTTTATGTACTGCAAATTCTTTGCTGAAAAGATAAAAGGAAAATCTAAATAAAATTTAGTTTCTGATATTTGATAACATAAATGAGGCCAAATAAATATCCTGAAGATGATTTTCTCAAAATCAAATATTTTTCTCTTGATAACCTTGCTGGACTGTTATCTACCTAAATATCACTGTTCATGAATGTGGATGAATAATTACTTCACACCAAATCCATGGAAAATGAACAGTATAACACATCTGAGTACACCTAACCTTATATATAAGAAAAAGGATTTTAATTTGCTTTGATGTCAGAAAAGCAATCTTTACTATTTCCTTTACTATGCTTATCTAAAACTAGAATAGACAAAAGAATGAACTTGTAGCCAATAACATGTCATGTGAATCATATGTGCACAAAACCTATGAAACTTATCTCAACTGAAGTACTGAACATAAAAAAAGCAAAATTAATCTTTATCATTTTCTAATATCTGAACTCGTTCTGAAAGTTTATTTTTCTGCCTGAAAGCCAACTAACAGCTTATGTTGTTCCTAAAATAAATTTTAATCTAGTAAAAATAACATTATTAAAATTGGATTATTAAAGATAGTATTTAGTAGCATTCAATACAATTTTGTTGTGTTAAACTAATAGTTACTTTCACTTAATTCTATTCTATATCTATTGAGTAGAATTAATCTAGCTATGTTGAAATATTTAAAAAGAAAGTTTTGACATAAAAATTTTATACTCTGATTCCCACATAGAAGTTTGATTCTTGCTTGGAAGGATACAACAATATGCACTTTCATATGCTCCGTAGAGAGAAGCTCTCTCCTTGGGTACTTCTGTTAGAGAATCTATGCAGCAAAAGCCTACTAAAGCTGGCTCCTGAAACCTGACCAGTGGTATCTCTTCCTTCTGGGCACATTTCAGAATAGGTTTTTGTCTGTTTATTTTTTGTTTTTATATCACTAAATTACAAGGGGTACAATATAAAAGGAGCCAATATCATAGCAACTCCTCTTAAATCTTCACAACATGTCTTTGATAATTTCAGATAGTGGTTCACAGACCTTAAGCCACTCAAATGTAAGTAGAAAGCACCAACTGCCTGGAATATAAGTGATTTTTTTAGCTAGCCTAAACTTTAGTCTCCTTCAAAATGTGTAATATCTTGAATTTTCCACATCGTATGACAAAGACCACACAATCATAGGTCCCCCGTACATGCCCTCTGCTCCTCTTGAGACACTCTGCAGCATGAGCCAAACCCTCCAGTAAACGTTTTACTAAATTAAGGTATACACAGGCATGCTTACAAGTAAGAAACTACCCTCTACAGATAGATCTTGAGTGATCTTTAATAGGTTATTGGTTAGGATTACCCATAATTACAGTAATATGAGGAATAGAAAACAGAAAACTTACTTCTTTGGGAGAATATGATATGCTGCATTCCAGAGATGTATTTTTCTCTATTTCCAAAGAATATATATAAGGACATGCAGGGTTTTTAAATTCCTCTATAAGAGATGAAAACGTACATATGTTCATAACAATCAAAAATCAATTTCTGAAATATTTGTGCAGGGCTATGTGAAGATGCTGGGTAAAGCATTGTTCTAAATACCAAGATTCTAATTAGCAAAATTGATGTATATGCATGGAAGAAATATACATTCAATCAGCAAAACAGTGACAGTAAACTCATTAAAACATAACTCCAAAATTCAAGAAGCATGCTACAGTCATACTCAGATGAATATAAATAGGAATAAACGGCAAGGTCAAGTAATTGACTAAATCTTAGTGCCTGGAATAGCTAGGAGCCTCCCTTTCCAGTGAAAATTGATCAGGGAAGAATCAGATCTCCTTTGATGCCTCAAAGAGTCCGTAAGTAATATAAACGCATATCCATTACCTCACTGATATACTTAACTGTTCACTTTTCGAGGATATGTAAGATGTCTTACTTATTTTTATGGACCCAAACTCTATCTTGCCTGTAATTGGGATTCAACAAATAATTAATGAATAACATATAATTAAACCAATGATCAGGAAACTTTCTGTGAGAATCCAGATAGTAAATATTTTAAGCTTTGTGAGATATACGGTTTCTATCACAGCTATTCAACTCTGCCAGTATAGCATAAAAGCAGCCATAAGCATTATACAAACAAATGGGTCTGTGCATGTTCTAATAAAATCTGATTTATGAAAACAGGTGTTGGGTCGTATTTAGCCCATAGGTCGTATTTTGACAACCCATGGAGTAAACAGATAAAATGCACTTATAAAATTTCATATTTTGTTTAAATCGAATTTAACAGAAAGATACCTAATACATGAGCAAATATATAGAGATAGCTCCCCAAAGACATTTATCTGAAATTATTGGGCAATTAAATGATTCATAATTTTATGTTCATTTAAGGCATATACTTATATATAACATAGTTAACTTACCATATTTAACCCACTAATAAGAATGGTTACATTTCATGTATTACCAAAGTGTTTTGATATTAATGAAGTATTTCTACAAGTAAAACCATGATGAGTTACAGAGTATAAGAAAAACATGCAGTGGTCTTTAAAAACATTTAAGAATAACTTGCACAATGGGATTATTTTTAGAAATTATACCGCAGGGCAACTTAAAACTGTTTTCCTTTTACAATAATATCATTATAGTACAAAACATATACCTGATTTGTCTTTAAGATCCATTGAAAACTCTGGAAAGTCTTTTAGATTAAACTCCACTCTGGCACGTGTCGCACCTTTGTTTTTTACTACAAATGGAATAATCTGCGTACCACCAACATAGGCACCAGTGAAATTAAATACTTCCTAAAATTTTAAAATATAATTAGAAATATAATAATACTTTATGAAAATACAAACTAAAACTTGCAATGTTATGTTTATCAGGGAAATTATTAACTGCAAAGCAAACTCTATAAAAAATTAGTCACATTTTCCTTCCTCTTCCCCACCTCCTATATGCCTCCTATACATAATGAGTTAATAAATCTTATTAATTCTTCCCCTTTCTTTACCTCTTCTCCATATTGTAACTGTATGAAATTAGTAAAACATCACTTTTCATTCAGTTTCTAGATTTTTACTTTCTCAAACTCTCCCCTTTATAACGAAGCCATATTTAAACTAATTAAGAATTTGATCACATTACTTCTTGTTTTAAAATTTGATGGTTTCTCATGATCTACAGGACCCTGCCCAAGCTCATTAGCAGGTCTCATAAAGCTCACCACGGCCTTCTGCTGCCTCATGTTCCGGCTTCAACTAGCCCCACTCTCACCCTATCACTTAATATTTCAGCAAGCTGTATGATGGCATTTTCAACCAACATCTGAGCTTCATCCTTCTGTCTTCACCCTTTTGGTGCCCCTTCTGTCAGGAAAGCCCTTCTATAACTTGCAATTGCCTAATAAAATATTACACATACTTCAAAGCCCAGTTGGATAAACCACAATTAATCATGCTGTGCTCAGGACCAATTCTGTTTCTTATATTTACTTACATTATGAAATCACGTAATTCATTGATTTACTTATTTTCTTATATGTCTCTTCTACTGGACCTTATTGTGATTCATTTTTGTATCCCTAGCACCTATCTGACATCTGCCTTAAATAAACAAGGCATTTTTATTAAGTGTATCTGAACTGTAGCTCACAGTCCAGGCATGTGCTTATACCACAACACTCTTTAGAATTACTCCTTGTAGTGGAGTTACTAAAATGCCATGGAGTTTCTTAGTAAAATAATTACATATAACATTTAAAGGCGATTGAGACAACAGCATCCTAATATCGAGGAAAATTTCGTATAAAGGTAGACTGGCTACTATTTGTTTCATTTAAAATGCCAACCCAGTCGTATATGTGAAATTTGTAAAATTCAACATGGAAAAGGAAAATTTGATGTTTTGTATATGTAAAAATAATCACTCTTCTTATCCCATTAAAATGAGCATATATTCAAATAAGCATTGCATATGTGCTCATGTGAACAAAATGTCCTAATTTTTATTAAGGTACATAGTCAATGCCATATCCATTACTGTATAGTTAACAAATGTTTTGCTAAAAATATCTAGTCATGTGTGAATATTATTTTTTAAAGTCAGCTATGTCTAAAATCCTGTGAAATAAGGGCATATTGATAAACTATATTAATGTAACATCCTATAAATTATTCAATTATACCATAACACGTAAAGCATGCCAAAAATGACTTTAGGATGAAAAAAGAAAGTGATAAAAGACTCAAAATTATCTAATATTTTTCAAGGAAGGATACCATAGTAATGGAAAAATAACCACTCTGGATACTATGGAGTTTAATCTCCAGGAATCACACAATCTTGGACAACCTAACTTAGTATTTGTCAGTTTACCTGGATTTATGCCTTCATCATTGAATAAAGAAAGGTTATAAAAGGATAAGTTAAAGCCACACACTGGAATTTTGGTGATGCCATTTAAATGCAGACTAGCAGTGAGCCGCCTACCTGAGGCAGTCAGCTGACCTCTTCATCATCAGTTTCTCCTCCATTTAGCTCCCCACAAGTATGGTGATATGTGTTAACACTACTAGTGGGAGAAAAAAACAAAAGTACAAACAACCCCCAAATAATATGACAACTGCTCCGATGGTGATGTTCCCAGGGCAAAAGATGTTTGTAATGCCTTATAAATGTCACAATGGAGGGGCCCTACTTTGAAGAATCAAAAGTTTCTTTGAATAGGTATGTCTAGATCTAATTCCTAAAAAGCTGGCCAGAACAACAACAAAAAAGTGATGTATGTATTTGTGTGTGCATGTGTGTGTGTGTGCATTTTATCATTTGTAGAACTACGTTTTTTTCAGGGCACATACAGTAATTCAAAAATAAATATGACTCTAGTTCAGAAAATGTAAATCAAGACCACAGTGAGGTATCATTTTATACTCAATGGATTGGGAAAATTTAAATCTGACAATACAACTTACAGAACAATAGAATTTGGAACAATGGAAATCAGAGAGGAAATTTTAAAAATAATCTTGTGAAGTCAAACACACTCATAACTCTGTCTCAATAACTCCATTCCTAGAGAACCTCTTGTACGTGTACCCCAGAAGATATGCATATGAATGTTCACAGCTACAGTGAACCAGTTTTTGTATTTAAAAAAGAAAGCCAAAAATACCTATTGGGATGAATAACTGAATGAGCATGTAAATTATATTTGTCTACAGAAACAACTATTATGCAGTATGACGATGATTAACATACTGTTACACACCATTTAGATGAATGCTGTAAACACAATATTTAAGTAAAAGTAACTCATCAAGGCTACAAATAGTACATCTTTGTTATAAAACTCAAAAACAAACTAAATAATGAACAATGAAAGCATTCATATTTATATTTATGTGGTGTCATTTTAGGCAAGTGATTATCTCTTATAAGGGACAGGATCATAATGAAGATGATTTCAATGGTACTGGTAGTGTTCTGATACTTATGTTCCATGGTAAATTCCTAAACCTTCATTCGATATTCTATTTCATCACTAATATTTATATGACATATATTAATTTTTAACTTTACATATAGTAACTTTTAATTAAAAATCATACATTGGAAAATATTTTAAAACATAAAGGGACTAACTAGAAATACACAACAAATAAAAATCACCACACTCAAGAGTTTCATCACACAAATAAGTAACATACTCACAGGATTGATTTCTACGTCAGCAATTTCAACAGTTCCACTGATCCTAAGGTTGATAGCGTTTGCATGACGAATATCAATCTTATTTAGGAGAAATAAAAAACGTTGTAGAAACCACATTAAAATATAATCTTAAGTCGCTAAAGTATTACCTGACATTTATACAACATTTTTTCATTTAAATAATAGTAACATATTATAAATGCACAAGATTTTTTCTGGTAATTGTCGTCACATTTCCAGTTTTGCAGAATTGATATTTCTAAGAAAAGTGAGTGTATAAATCCTCAGAACCACCATAAATGTGATTAGCTGATGGTTTGTGAATCTGAATGCAGAGTTCTACCTACTTGACTAAACTTTATTGCCACTCCCTGCAGTACAATTTTTATTTATCTAATTTCAAAGCATTATTTAAAATTTTTAGAAAAACAAACAACAGAATGATTGCAGTTCGTATCTTCCCCTAGAAAGATATGAATATGCACAACCATAATAGTAATGATAGCAGCTAAAAATTGCTGTGTATATGGGTCCAGTACAGTGCTAAATACAGTATTTCCTTTTTGGTACTCAACATTCTATTAGATAACGACTGCTAATAATCCTAATTTTAAACTGAGAAAACTGACTCCTGCAGAGGCCAACTATTTTGTCTTTTTCATGAGATCACAAACTTGAAAGCAGCAGCAGCTAAACTAAGGCCTGCCTGAACATTCTATTTCTTCCAAAAAAATTAAGATAGCAAATCAAGAATTTAGTTGTATAATTCCACAAAATAAGAACTATAGAGTATCTGAGCATACAGTTGTTTAAGCAAAATCTCAGAAGTGCAAAAATATAATTCCCTGGAAGTCTTGTCTGTATAAGCACAGGAAAGAGTCAAGGTGTACATTTAAATTTAAATGTATATTATATCTAAGAAAGCAAAGTGAGTGTATTTCACTCTTCCACAGAATCACTGATACTGTTTATATGCAAATAAACTATAAAATATCATTTTTCAGAATTACTGGGGAAATTAATATGCCAACTAGAGAGCCTTATTAAAGTTTCTATAGTCATAATGCTATATGATTGCCACATTTTATTCAGAGTATATAATACATAAAAAACATATTTGACTAAAATCAAGAGAAGCATAACTTAATGATTCAGAGGAAATTGCAAATTGACATGTTCTTCATTAATAAATCTCATACACAAGTCTCAACTCCCTATGGCTGCCTTTTACTCACCTCCCAGTCATTCCTTATTCATCCAAAACTCCTGGATGTCATAGCTTATTTACCACCCTAGACCACTGGTCTCTTGACATTTTCATCTCTAGAGACTTAAACTACACCATAGACAACATTACTCCTCGTAAATGCACAACCTCTGAAATCATAAATTCATTCATCTGTATCATTTTTACAACTCCCTCTCACCCTTGCTTTCTCTCATTTTCAAAGACAACAGTTCCTAGATGTCACATATCACAGAGACTTTCAAACCTGTGATGTGTAATATTCTCCCAATCATCCCCAATTCACCTTTATCCTCTATATTTTCCTTTATTCAATTTCTTTCAACTTTTACCATTCCAACTTCTCAATTATATATTTGGTTCACTTATACACATCTGGACCCATAGAGGGATAGCAGAAAAATCCTCTTTCATCTCTAAGATGAATCATTAGCCTTCAGACCAGTATGTATATGTGGCTGCCTCTCTATTAGACATCTCTACATGAAAATCAAAAAGATGCCTCCTACTCAAGCAAACATTTTCCTCTAACAGGTGTTACTCATACTCTGATCTCTTTCTCTCTAAATGTTGCCACCGTCTGCCTCATTCTTGACTTTCTCATCTTATTTATATGAGACCCCTTTTCAATCACCAATCCCCATGTATTTATCAATTTCTCACCAGTTTGCCTAGATTTCGTCACCAGACTAATAACTCTGCATTCAATCTTTCTGGGCCTAGCTTACTTCTTTATCACCAAAGTGATCTCTAAAAAATGCAAATCTCATTGTGAAATCCCTATAAAAATAAATCCCTCTTAAAATAAAGCCTGGATTTCTTAATGTTGATAAGGCCCTGTATGACCTAAAACTTACACGGGTCATATAAGTACATTTTTTCCCAACCATAGTCCATTCAATAGTATAATCTAGTCGTGCTAATTTTCAAGTTTCTTAAGTCTGCCTCTCAGCTATCTCTCTCACAAGCCTCAACACATGCTAGCCTTGAACAATCTTTCCTCCTCTCCCCCCTCACCCCACTACCATCCTTTCAATCTGGCTTATTCTTAACTTCAGATGTCTTTCAGACATACCTTCATCTAGAAAGCTGTCTCTGATAATTTAAGACAGAGTGGTGTGTCTCTCCTGTGTACTTCCTTAGCCTGCTATATTTCTTCATCATAATACTTATTATAGTATATTTTAATTATTTATTGAGTTATTTGTATTTCCCACCAGATTGTAAGCTCTTTGACATGAAAGACCCTGGTTATCTTGTTAATAATTGAATCCATAACATTTACATGAGATTGGTCCATAATGTGGATGTTGAATGAATAAATAAATGAGTCCCATTATAATATAATGTTAATAAAGGTAAGATTAGAAAAAAAGTATAATTCTCTAAAATATAGTGGGAATTAAGTTTAGTAAAATCTATATTTTTGGTGGCCATATGTTTTATTTTTCCCAGAATATTGTGTTTAAAAGTATTCTACCCAAGTCTTAGATCATATATCACAAAATATAATTTATAAACATTTTCAACACATTTATTTATGAAAATAAGATATTCTTTTTTTTTTCTTTTCTTTTTTTTTATTGCATTTTAGGTTTTGGGGTACATGTGCAGAGCACGCAATACAGTTGCATAGGTACACACAGGGCAGTGTGTTTTGTTTGCTTTCTCCCCTTCACCCACATTTGGTATTTCTCCCCTGGCAATCCCTCCCCACCTCCCCCTCCCACTAGCCCTCCCCTTTTCCCCCTATAGATCCCAGTGTTTAGTACTCCCCTTTCTGTGTCCATGTGTTCTCATTTTTCATCATCCGCCTATGAGTGAGAATATGCGGTGTTTCATTTTCTGTTCTTGTGTCAGTTTGCTGAGAATGATGTTCTCCAGATTCATCCATGTCCCTATAAACGACACGAACTCATCATTTCTGATTGCTGCATAATATTCCATGGTGTATATGTGCCACATTTTCCCAATCCAGTCTATCATTGATGGGCATTTGGGTTGATTCCAGGTCTTTGCTATTGTAAACAGTGCTGCAATGAACATTCGTGTGCATGTGTCCTTGTAGTAGAACGATTTATAGTCCTTTGGATATATACCCAGTAATGGGATTGCTGGGTCAAATGGGATTTCTATTTCTAAGGCCTTGAGGAATCGCCACACCGTCTTCCACAATGGTTGGACTAATTTACACTCCCACCAACAGTGTAAAAGTGTTCCTTTTTCTCCACATCCTCTCCAGCATCTGTTGTCTCCAGATTTTTTAATGATCGCTATTCTAACTGGCGTGAGATGGTATCTCAATGTGGTTTTGATTTGCATCTCTCTGATGACCAGTGACGATGAGCATTTTTTCATATGATTGTTGGCCTCATATATGTCTTCTTTCGTAAAGTGTCTGTTCATATCCTTTGCCCACTTTTCAATGGGCTTGTTTGTTTTTTTCCTGTAAATCCGTTTGAGTTCTTTGTAAATTCTGGATATCAGCCCTTTGTCAGATGGGTAAACTGCAAAAATTTTTTCCCATTCTGTTGGTTGCCGATTCACACTAGAGACTGTTTCTTTTGCTGTGCAGAAGCTGTGGAGTTTCATTAGGTCCCATTTGTCTATTTTGGCTTTTGTTGCCAATGCTTTTGGTGTTTTGTTCATGAAGTCCTTGCCTACTCCTATGTCCTGAATGGTTTTGCCTAGATTTCCTTCTAGGGTTTTTATGGTGCCAGGTCTTATGTTTAAGTCTTTAATCCATCTGGAGTTAATTTTGGTGTAAGGTGTCAGGAAGGGGTCCAGTTTCTGCTTTCTACACATGGCTAGCCAGTTTTCCCAACACCATTTGTTGAACAGGGAGTCCTTTCCCCATTGCTTGTTTTTGTCAGGTTTATCAAAGATTGTATGGTTGTAGCTATGTTGTGTTGCCTCTGATGCCTCTGTTCTGTTCCATTGATCTATATCTCTGTTTTGGTACCAGTACCATGCTGTTTTGGTTACTGTAGCCTTATAGTATAGTTTGAAATCCGGTAGTGTGTTGCCCCCCGCTGTGTTCTTTTTGCTTAGAATTGACTTGGCTATGCGGGCTCTCTTTTGGTTCCATATGAAGTTCATGGTGGTTTTTTCCAGTTCTGTGAAGAAAGTCAATGGTAGCTTGATGGGGATAGCGTTGATTCTGTAAATTACTTTGGGCAGTATAGCCATTTTCACGATATTAATTCTTCCTAACCATGAACATGGAATGTTTCTCCATCTGTTTGTATCCTCTCTGATTTCGTTGAGCAGTGGTTTGTAGTTTTCCCTGAAGAGGTCCCTTACGTTCCTTGTGAGTTGTATTCCAAGGTATTTTATTCTTTTTGTAGCAATTGTGAATGGCAGTTCATTCTTGATTTGGCTCTCTTTAAGTCTGTTATTGGTGTAGAGGAAGGCTTGTGATTTTTGCACATTGATTTTAAATCCTGAGACTTTGCTGAAGTTGCTTATCAGTTTCAGGAGTTTTTGGGCTGAGGCGATGGGGTCTTCTAGGTATAATATCATGTCGTCTGCAAATAGAGACAATTTGGCTTCCACCTTTCCTATTTGAATACCCTTCATTTCTTTTTCTTGCCTGATTGCTGTGGCTAGAACTTCCAGTACTATATTGAATAGGAGTGGTGACAGAGGGCATCCTTGTCTAGTGCCGGATTTCAAAGGGAATGCTTCCAGTTTTTGCCCATTCAGTATGATATTGGCTGTTGGTTTGTCATAAATAGCTTTTATTACTTTGAGATACGTTCCATTGATACTGAGTTTATTGAGGGTTTTTAGCATAAAGGGCTGTTGAATTTTGTCAAATGCCTTCTCTGCA